AAAAATAACCCATTTTTATAATCTTTAAAACAGTCAACATCAGGAGTCAACAACTTCAGACAATCAGATTCACTTTTGTCTCTTGCCCTCCTCATAGGCCCAGATTAAAGGATATCAAGCTTTAAATAAAAGATTACACATATGCAGCAGGGATCCCCAGATCCCACCTGTCTCATATTAAAAGAATAAAGCCATTTTGTGTTTCTTGTGTATGCGAACATAAAGTCAGTGTAATATTTGCCGACAGTGTAGCAATGGCAGCTGGAAGGATGCATCATTGGAAAAAATCCATCTCATGGTGAACAGAATTGAAATTCCTTCACTTTCTCACAAAGGGGTGACAAAACACAGTGATTGAGAAAGACGACAGTGCTACAAAAAAGTTATAGTAATGAAATGAATACAAAATGCGGAAAAACTACAGACTTTTATGTTCGGGTTTGGCACAAAAAGAACAGACAGGTGGTTACATCCGAGAAACACTCAAGGTCTGTTGAACTTGCGTTGAACTTTTATTAGTATTCTGTTCGTCCACCTCCGATAAGAGACCTTAACTTTTCTTTTCTTCCAAAGAAAGACTCGGAGAAAATACCTGAATCTGTTGTGTTACAATGCCACTGTCCTTTAACTCTGCTGAAAGAAAATGTTAGCACATGAATCTTCTTTTTATTGCACATCCCAGAACATGGTCTCTTGTCCAGGTCTGGTTTATTTTATTTTTTTTACATTTTTCTTCCTTTAGGGGCTCCGTAGCCATCCAACATGACCCGAAAAATCTAAATCTAACTGAAAATGTTTAGGGGAACTTCTAAACCAATGCAAGTTTCAGACCACTGATGACTTGTGGAAAGTCATTTTCACTACATGAAGCAACATTCCCAATGAAACATTCACATTGAGCATGCCTAAACATGTTTTGAAATGAAACGAGAACATAAGATACTCACAACTGAATCCTGCTGACTTCTGAAACTTTTAAACCCCCGTGCGTTTATTATTTATTTGGAAACTCGTCTTATCAAGGGAGTGTGTGAGAGTTTACTCCTTCTTTTCTTGACACATGTTAGTCTGTACAGATTAAATTTAGACTCATCGCCATCCTTGGAGTCTAACTGAGCAAACAAACCAATTTTTTTTCCAGTGCTGCAATTTTAAAATGGATTATAATCCAATCGAAAATATAATTATAGCAGTGAAAATTGTCCTTCCATCACTGATAAATGTTTTAGGAAGTTTAAATGCAATACTTGTTTTTTCTGATCACACTTCTTTCCTTATATTTGTTTTTTTTTTGTTTGTTTTTTTTTCTTTTCAAAACCCAGGTTTTAATAAATCAGCCTGACATTAAAACAAATATTTATATTTACAGACATTTTCTTGGTCGTTTTGCTGAACCGATGCAGACTAATAATTGAGCCCTCATGATTCAGAAGAACAGCTTTCCCACAGCCAAGAGACGCGTTTGCTGACATTGTAGTTTCAGGAATGAGAAGATTCTGACTGTGTCAGCTAAGACTGAATGACTTGTTGCCAAGCTGGAACGTATTAAATCTGTGCAGTCATTTCCAAAGGGTGAAACATTTGTCTAGTGAAACACAAAGGGTGACTTTTTATTTTGGCCAGGCAGTCTGCACAGATGCAAATATCTGGACAAATGAGAATATCTTCAAGAAGGTACTATGTTTATTAAATCTAAAGGAAAACAATCATATTACATAGGTTTAGTAGTAAAGTTTTTATTAATAAATGGACATTTTATTAATAAACAAAAAACTTGTTATTCATCTGTTATCAAATGCATAGTGCATTAGGGGAAAAAAGTATTTTATCAGAGGTAGGTCTGTACCTAAGTTCTTTATTTTAATTTTTGACAGTTTAAGACACTTTAAAACTCTTCCAGCATAATTTACTATCTGAGCTTTTTTTTTTTTTTTTTTTAACTGATTGAGAGATTCCTCCTCTCAGCATCACATCTTTGCCTTGAATCCTGTTCACCCTTCTGATGTGAACAGGATTCGAGTGCATTCAAACCAGCTTTGGACCCCCAGACCTTGGGAGTGCTTTGGCTTTTCGCATCTACAACAACAAACTGAGGGAATTGCTGGGAGGACAGACATGTGGAGTGGAGTTTAGTGGAGTGGAGTGGCGGGGTGGAGGGGAGGGGAGGGGAGAAGTGGAGGCGTGGGAGTGTTTCCGACCAGATATCAGATGCTCCCGTCTCCATGCGGCAGGAGAATGGGAACTGGCTCGCGTATAAAAAAAAAATACTGTGCATATTGCATCCTGTAAATTCCCAAAGTAAAGCTGCGGTTTCCTGCTGCTGACATGAGAGGTCAGAGGTCGGCGTCGGAGCAGAAGCACTTCCACTAGGTTTTCGTGTCGGATCGGATGGAAACGGATGGAACAGCGCGGCTCATTATAAAGCACGTCTCCGGAGCGACCACAATGAGCTGTAATTGCTGTGGTCAGCTGCAAAGTTTGCGAACAGAGGGTCTAGAAGCTGGCTTCTAGTCACAGAGACAGAAAACTACCCCGTCTGGCTCTTGCCTTCTCTGGCTTTAATTAGACGCACTCATGGAGCAAATGAAGCACCGATGAGCCAGACGCCGCAACAAGAGGTCGTGTTGATGTAAAAAAAAAAAAAAAGAAAGAAAGAAAGAAAGAAAGAAAGCACGACTCTAAAAGCCTGTGGTGGATGGAGGAGAGGGGGTGGGGGGAGGTAGACCACTGACCTGGTTCGTGAGGAGATCCGATGGCTTTGCAGATCTCCAGCGCCAAAAGAAGCGCGACGAGGACTTGAATGGGAGACGCTCTTTGTCCAGCAGCGTGGAGCCCCCACTCCGAACGGTTCATTTCGTCAGGACGGGGACCTGCGTGTCAGAAACATCTAATGCCTTCCCATAAAGCTCCACGGCGCTCAATTCAGATGGAGTCCATATGAGTTGGATGCGCGTTCGGCGTCACTTGGACCATGCGCCTCAGCCGTCACAGTCCTAATAAAGATCTCCAACATGGGCCCGATCATCGTTTGCGTCCGCTGCTTGTTTTGGATGCATTCCGACTCCAACTCTGTAACTTTTGTAAAGTCGGCTTTGACACTTTATTGAGCGACCCTTGGTTCTTCCTCCTGTCCTCCATCAGTCTCCTCCCGACTACCAGTGACAGCTTGAAAACTTTTCTCTTCCTCCCCTCACCCCCCCATCCCTCGTCAAACTTTTGCAGAGCCACCCCCACAGATGGGAGGACTCTCAGACAATAGGCTGGCTCTTCAAGGACCGAGCGGAGGCTTAAAGGGGAACGGCCGCACCAAGAAATCGGATACAGTCAAACGATCCAGCCTGCATGCAAGTACAGCCCAGAAAAAGCCGAGGTCTGACGGGTTCTCAGTGGGTCAGATGAGGACCCGCTCAGATGGGATGCATTCACTTAAAATCGGAGAAAACACTTTAGATCAGGGGATGCACTTTGTGCAACACAGCGACGGTCATTTTGGATTGAGGAATACTCTTTAAGAAAAAAAAATAAAAAAATAAAAAATAAAACCCAAAGGGTTAAAACCGGATAGTTTCACAGGAAGCTGTGACGGAAGGGATTATATTGGCTCCATAAAGGTGAATTCCCACAAATGACTTTTTGAGAACAGTTATTAAATTTATAAACACGCAGCTTAATGTTTAAATTATTACTCTAACTTGTTTATTATGGCTTTTTTTATGCACTAATGTCATTTTTGAAGAAAAAAGGAAATTAGTGAACAACACAACCTCAGTATCTGTGGGTTTAAAATTAACTTCCTACTGATTCCCCCCACCCCATAACTTCATATCACCGTAGTTGCCTAAATTAAAAAAAATATTTAATTACTTGGTTAATTTTCCTTGAGTCTGATTTGGTTTATTGCCTTATGAGCCTCTTAGGGTGAAACAAAAACAGCAGCTATGCTCACAGTGTCTTTGTCTCTTGAAGGTTCTGCTGCACCAGGACTGGGCCGACAGTGGATGCTTTGGGACAGGGGCAGCATTTTGTTTCTCTTTGACAAGAATAAAAAACAAAACATGCTTTCATGGTAAACTGCAAACGTCTCCAGTAATGCCAGAAATAAGAAATTAGATTAGTCTCTGGTTGCTGATGTGTGCATTTTCACCTTATGTTGGACTGTCTCAGGGCGACAGTCCAACAGTCTAGAAAATGTACTCAGGTTTAACTAGTTTAGAATCAGCAGGAAAGTTAAATGTGATGGTAGTTTCTTGAACTTTTCATAGCTGCTGTTGTCGGGGAAAAGCTTTATTTAATACCATTTCAGAGTAAGTGTCAAAACCATCTGCACTTAGTTACTTTTAGCATACCAACCAGATGAGCAAAAATATGTCTATTTACTTTAGTTTATCAAAATTTCTCCACAGCAAAAAAAGGCGAGGAGCAAAGACACTCAAATACCAGGATTAATGTACTGTATGCTAATGTGGTGTATTTATAATAACGGACCTTTGTGTGACATTTGTCACCGAAGCACTTTAACAGATGATGTTGCTGACGAAGCAGAAGTTGCCCAGAAGAGTGATGCCAAAAACTCAAAGCGCCAGCAGAAACGGAATGAAGATAGATGGACAGACAGACAGACAGATATGTGCTGTTTGACATTCAAAGATAGAAAGGACAGACAAACAAACCTTTATCTTTATTGTACAGCATACAAATTCAGTAGCACCTTAAATATCATAAGAATGTCTAAATGTTTTAGGAAATCAAACCACACACACAGTTAAACTCAGTTAAAAAGTAATTTTGAATATGGTCAACATGGTCATTATTGCATTGACTGATGTAAAACTGACATAATTCCGTGCTGGGGGTGGCGCACTTTCACAGGTCGTTTGTGCGGGTTCACGGGGTTCTGGACCGCGATAAAGAGGTTATGGTAGGTCAGTGGTTCCTATGATCCTGTGGGGCCTTGTGAGCTCGGATGGGTGCTGCACATGTCTGGGAGGGAGGACTTAATCCCTCCAGCTGCCCTCACACCCCTCATGAGACCAAGTCTGTCTCATGAGGTCAGCCTGTTCTGCAGCAGCGCAGCCGGAGGAACCACACGGTGCAACGGTAACTTAGGACGCTTTCACTTGTGCATCGTTAAACTGATCCGTGTCTTCTTTGTAAAGCCTGAAGCGTTTAAATGTTGTCTACCACAATCTCTACTGTGTGTTGCACTTGTCAGTAACGCTAACACTTATCGTATTGAGTAAAAAAAAAATTGCATTTTCTTCTGGCGTTGCTGCGCTAAAGTAATCAGTTTGGCTGTTTTTACGCACAGCCCGAGTGCGCAGCGACTCCAGTCACAAGCTCGTCTTGCGTTAATAAAGAACATGACCCCTTTTTTTTGTTTCTACCAGTAAGTGTCTGTCATCTTTAGCAAATGAATGACGGAGCTACACAGTCATTTCTAGCGCGGGACAGTCTGCTTCTCTCTCTTTCTGTTGACCAATCCTGGCGCAGCGGCGGAGCGACACACCTGTATAAAAGCGGATTCCAGGTCAGCTGACATTCAGAGGGGGAAGCGATGAAGATGACAGGGTGCTGAGGAAGGCGCACGGAATCTCTCTCTCTCTCAGATGGGGATGTTCTGCGGGGCGCGTGTTGCGCGTTTTTAAAGATGGACGAGCTCTTTAACCAAAGCGCAGCGCCGAACCAAAGTTCAGCTGGAGATGACAAGTTCACATTCGAGGACATCGACGTGAGCGCGGACGGCTCTCCCATCCTGAGGATATTCATATCGGTGGTGTACTCGGTGGTGTGCGCCATCGGCTTGGTGGGGAACCTCCTCGTGTTCTTTCTCATGAGGGTGCGACAGGGTCGCAAGAGATCCACTATAAATGTGTTCATCACCAACTTGGCAGTGACGGACTTCCAGTTCGTCCTCACGCTGCCCTTCTGGGCCGTGGACACCGCGCTGGACTTCAGCTGGCCTTTTGGAGGCGCGATGTGCAAGATCGTCCTGTCGGTCACCGTCATGAACATGTACGCCAGCGTCTTCTTCCTCACCGCCATGAGCGTGACCCGCTACCTGTCCGTGGCTTCAGCCCTGAAGAAAAGGTCTTACAGAAGGTCACGGTGCGTCAAGTGGGTGTGCGCGGTGCTGTGGCTGGCCGCCACCGCGGCCACGGCTCCCACGGCCGTCTTCTCCACTGTGACGGTGGTCGCCGGAGAAAAGCTGTGCCTCCTTAGGTTTCCGGAGGGACACGACTGGCTGGCCCTTTACCACATCCAGAAAATACTGATTGCTTTCGTCATCCCGATGTTCATCGTTTGTGTCAATTACATGATGCTCCTGCGCTTCGTCAGGCGGAAAAGCATGGACGGCAGCAACCCCAAACGGAGATCCAGGGTCACCAAGTCTGTCGCCATTGTCGTTTTGTCCTTCTTCTGCTGCTGGATGCCAAACCACGCCATCACCTTCTGGGGCGTCTTGGTGAAATTTAACGCGGCCAACTGGGACACGTCCTACTACACGGTGCACACGTACGTGTTCCCGGTCACGGTGTGCTTGGCACACACAAACAGCTGCTTGAACCCCATCCTTTACTGCCTGATGAGGCCGGAGATCAGGAAGATGCTGAGCGGCCTTTTTTGGAGAGTCTCCAGTCCCACTCAGAGCAAGGCTTGCGCGACGCGCTCCGTTACGCACATAGAAACCCAGGGAGTGGTGCCCCTCCAGATCATTGACAACACGGAGTACACGCTGTCCATCATAGATCGTAAAGGTTCATCAAGTTCTAAGTCAATCCCATACACCCACTGAATAAAAAAAAAAAAACTGCCTTTACTTATTTATTTAATTTTATTTTTTGCTCCGTCAGCTGGCATTGCTCGTGCGTAATGTGTTCACAAGTCTGAAAATCACTATATTCTATGTACTACGAGTCACATGGAATGATCATTCCGTGTGAAAACTATAAAACGGTTGACCCATTCTGTGATTTTTCTGAGATTAATCTTTTCACGCTATAAGTGACAAAAGGACTGGGACAGGACGGGTCAGCCCGGCCACATGGAGAGGCGGAGATATTCACTGTCGGGCCCTAAAATATGAAAAAGTTTTTTGTTTTTTGTTTTTTTGTTTTTTTGCCACGATATTCACCATGTAAAGCCTGACTGTAAATAAATTGCTTTTCCATCAGAGGAAAATAAATAAATAAATAAATAAATGGCTGATTATTGCTCCAAGCTAATTTCATCCTGTGATAGATTTTTCATTGGTCTTTAATTACAATAATGATATTTCAGAATTGGCCAGAGTTTTTGAATCAGTCGTGTTCTACCGTTTCTGGATGTAAGTTGTGCAAATTTTTTTTAAAGAGGTTTAACACTAATGACGTGGTTCTCATGCTGTGCCAAGCATCACTGCCTTCAGCTGTAAAACATATTTATTTTTGATACTTTGTAACAGTGAGCTATGAAGTTACTTCTGAAGTCCAAACAGCATTAAATGAAACCAAGCTGTGCTACATAGTGAAAAACTTAATGGATGCTAAATGACCAGGCTAGATGCTGCTACCACTACTAGCTAGTAATGTACAGACTCATCCAATACACTGAAATATTACTGAAAAGTCAATTTATTTCAGGAACTTTATTACCAAGTGAAACATTATAGAGGATAATTACTTATACTGGTGATTTCCAGACTTTATTTTGGTTAATTACGATTTTCTTTTTGCCAACAACGAAAACATGATAATTAATTACAAAAGACCAATTCAAGAAAAATCATTTTAAGATACAGAAATGTGGGTTTGCTGATGAACTTAGTTATTTTCAACTGGTGCTTTTAATCTAACAAATGAGCCTCATGAGAAAGTATATTCTAATGTTTTAAATATGACTCTCTTACCTGATGCATTTAAACATTGCAGCATGTTCATTAAAAGAAATGTGTGAATTAATAAGATGCAAAACAGACGAGTAAAAAAAATAAAATAAAAGGTGCACATGTGAATTTTACATGGTGGTTGATGAGAAGCTCTCTTTCCCAAACAGAAATCTGCCTGATGAAAATCATCATAATTTTTTTTTTTACCTCAAACTTGGATATTTCATCTTTTAAGCTAAAATGCAATAGAAACAAACCACTAAAGTTTTCTTCTACCTCTCAGCAAGCACAAATCCTGTCACTCGGCTGCTCATAAAAGCTACAGAGATGATAGTTGGAAAACTTTGGTGTTTAGTGGTACTTGTTATAAAATGTTTGAGAACGTTGTCCTCCTGTGAGTAAAAAAAAAATAAAAATGTAAAGCAGTCAATCTCTCTTTGAGCACAGAGTGCAGATGCTGATTTAAATAAATACTTAACGGAGCGTTAGATTGAAGACAACCGTTGAAAAATGATTTTCATCAGTCCGGCACCTGAGCTGGACTGATGTGTAACCAAGAGGAGAGATGGCTCATAAATTTCCATCTGTCATCTTTTGGCTCAAGTGAAGACCCTCCACAGACAAGCGGGGAAAGCTGCCCACCACACAGGCCAGGAGGTGAGGGAGGTCACCTGGATGCAGGCGGCTTGATCGGCTTCCAGCTTTGTGTGCCGATGCTCCTCTTCTCCGTCTGCCTTTCTTGTCCTCTGCATCCCTTTGTGTTGCTGTCGAGAGGTTTTGTGTGATCGCAAAATGCTGTGGTCAGGTTGCTTTTTCCATTCTTCCTCTTGCTTTTCCATGAGTGCAAAAAACAACAACAACAAAAAAAACAAAAAAAAAACAAAGCAGCTGGAAACCTGCCCGTTCAGTGTGTTTAGGTTGTGTAAAAGAAAAAGGGGTTTCACGAGCTTCTAAAACGAGGGAATACGTTTAGTAAGAGTGAACCCGAATAAGCTTGTTTTAATTAAAACTGCAGATTTAACGGAGGATGACAAAGCTTTGGGCTCTTAGCCTCGTGTATGGTGCAGCTAATAACGTTACAGAGTACTTTTTATAGCATGTCGGCATGCGTCACCCAGCCGCAGGCCGCCCTCAGGGAATGCTTTTGTTAGTGAGACGTCTGCAGAACTTTTTATATTGACTTGCAGCTTTTGATTTCTACACTTACTTCCATGTAGACAGAATGTCTTCAATATTTCAACGTGGTCTTGATGCATTTCTCTCCAGGCTTTCTGGGTATTCTTAGAAGCTCGATTTCTGTCCAGGACCTAACAACCTAGATGCATATTTTGTTTTTGACGACTTAACACTGATTTTGACGAGCTCAGTTTTATGTATTTTGTTCCCTGTAAAGCTTTATAATTCCCACTTTTGAATCTGGAAAAACATATCTAAAATAAGACAGGTGAAGATGCAAAGTGCTGTTAAGCTAAAATAAACTTTTTGGGGTTATTATCAACTTGGCTAATACATCTTATGGCAGATATTTTATCATATGATATATATGCACATCTAGTGGAGAGAGTTTTTAGCCTCCAGCATCTTCTTACAGACTGAAAGACATGGATTAAGAACGTGAAAGATTCCAAGAAAACATTTATGGTAAAAAGTAAAGAAATGAGATGTAGTTTGAACATTTTACACTTCATATGCAGAAAGTAGATGAACGTTTGAGAATCAACTGTCTTTTAAATTGTCAGTTTAAAAGTCACACCTGCACCCTGCTTTGTCACTTTTTTGAGTTTGCCAATCAAAAAGCATATTTATGTTGCATTGATGTCGCCATTTTCTTTTACTATGCGACTTCACTGCAACATTTGCACACATTGCTTGTAATCTGCATCACCGATAATTAAAACATATTACGGTAATTCATTTTAAGTTGTATATTTTTGATTTATTGGATATCTCCGACGTTGTTTTGGTCATTTTCATTCTTATAATTTTTAGTACGGTATACTGTATCATTTTCAGTGGCAGTAAAAACAAACCTCGCCCTCGGGGATCAATACGTTTTCATGATGGCAGTATTCTTGTGAAACTGCTTTGCAGGTGTCAGCAGCACAGACAGGCTTTCCACCACGAAAATGACTCTGTCCGTTGAAACCTGCCCTGATTTATTACAGTTATTTGAGATTAAGAACGTAATATTAACAGCTTAATTTGTCTCTGTGCACCTGCAGGTCTCAGTGATTCACACACAGCACACAGCATCAGAGTCTGAAGAGAACCTGGAAAGTATTTAGTAACTTTGATAGAAAAATTATTTCTGAATCCATTTAAGAAAGCCTGTGTTGTGGGATTATGTAACTAGAACAACATAAAAAAAAGACAAGATTCAATCAATGTGGCAAGCCAGTAAATTAAAATGGCTAAGATGCATGTTTTTTTTTTGTGGCAAAAAGACAAGTTTTCTACATATCACAGTCTCCCTGTTTTATTTAAACTCCTTATTAAAATATTTGATGTAGACACCAAGTACATCATAGGTTATTTGTAATCTGAAGACAATAATCTCAACACATTTCATATCACATGCAAACTAAAGCAATACCTAAAATCAATGAAAGGAGACTTATTTTTAATTGAACTGTAGTTTCAGATGCATTTGGTCAACACCGCCCCTTACTGGTGGCAGCAGGTCAATACAACAAAATCCTCAACCCATCGAACCGCACTTTTCAGAAGCATAGTGGACTTAAATGCCAGACTTCATCTCCACTCAGGTACATCCAAATTAATATGAAATGCTCATCACAGCAATGCAACACTGTAAAACTGATTTAAATCAATTCAATAAGCACATGGTGATATATTTTTTTAAAAAGTGAATAATTTCTGCTAATTTTGAGTTTACCGCTAATGACAAGAAATCCGTTTATCAGATATTGAGCAAATATTAAGACACAATAAATAATAATAATAATAATAATAATAATAATAAGGTACTGTCAATTTTGAAACACAGCTCTACTGAAAAGTGTGCCCATAAGCTCTCAGTCATTGGTTGGGGATATTTTTGCATGACTTGCATTGTGGCATGGAGACAATCAACCGGAGGCTCTGCCAGATATTCAGGAAGTTCAGATTTCTAAGTGCGAAAAAGTTGACTGCCAGCACTCCACTTATACAAACACAGATCTGTTGATCAATCGTTTGATTGTACAGAAATTAAAAACCACCAAGCCAGTTGTAAATCAAATCCAAATGAACCAAATTCATTCAAGTGTCATGGAGCACCGTGGTTCCAAATCGAGTGAGGTGATTCTACGCTTATTTCTTGAGATAAACTTTAGAATTCATTGCTCAGCAGCTCCGTGCAGCGCCAGCCTGCTGATTGGTGGAATCAGCTCCAGGTGAGCCAGCCTGCTGATTGGTGGAATCAGCTCCAGGTGTGCCAGCCTGCTGATTGGTGGAATCAGCTCCAGGTGAGCCAGCCTGCCAGGCTCTCCGGCAAAGATCCTCCCCGAGGAAAGAGCACTCACACGATATAGTATTTACACCCTCACTTATAATCGAGTCATGAGTGTGTCCTCGATTGAATGTTAGCTGTTTAACATGATGGGTCAAACCAAAGTTTTGAAGAATACCACACAGCTTTTTTCCCTCTCCTTCTTAGGTCACAGTATTATTACCATAGATATTTTATTCTATGGAAAATGCCTTAATTTCTTGAACATTTAAGAGTAAACAAGTATATAAGTGATGTTTAAGACAGTTTTCCCATCTGTGGTGCCTGCACATCTTTGAGTTTTTGGTTTAGTATCTCACCATTGATGCTCTAGTAATTGTTTTTAAAGTGGGTGGAGACAATCATGCTGTGAAATAAACAAGTTAGCCAGTTTGTACCACCAGAGCATAGCCAGATTGATCTCCTTTAAAGGTATTTTCAAACACCCAAGAGGACAATAGCTCTGTGATCAATGGCTGTCTGTGTGCTCTGATGAAAAACACTTTAGAAAGATACAAAGGAGGACGCTCTAGGCAGCTCTGATAAGTTTTGTGAATCCAAAAGACTTTTTAGTCACACAAATTATGTTTTTTCACATTAAGATGCCCCGTCATCTTTCATTACTTTTAGCTATTTGATTCAGAAATGTATATTTTCAAAAAAGATACAGAAAAGACTGATCAAGTTGTTTTCAAACACATCTTGCTTGTAGATTCATTTAAGTTCCTTGGTATTTTATGAGAAAACTTATTTGAGAATTTGATTTGAAGATTTTTATTATCAGTCGGCGAATAAAATTTACAGCAGCAATATATACACGTACTCCACCTATAAGGTAAACTATAATGTAAAATGTAGCTATAAACCTCAATATAAAATCTGAGCTTTCGGCCCTCTGGCTGTCCAGTGACTCACCTGGGTCAACATCAACCATAGGCTATAAAATAAATTTGTATTGATTTTTGTGTAAAGGGTTGTGTAATATTTGACAGTCAGGACAACTACACATATTTTTTTTTTAGAAAAATAAAAGAATGCTAACCTCACTTCAGCTCCTACTAGCAGTGCCATCCGTCTGGTGAAGAGACCAGATCCGTTTAAGGTCGAATTGGCAAGTTTAGTTTGTAAAAGTGCAAATAATAATCTTCATAACATGATTGTTGCGTTACCTTAGCTACAATCCGATGCTGTGAGTTTAATCTTTGTGTTTGAGTTTGTTCACAAATACAACTCTACAAATAACCAATTAAACTTGGCCCCCTTCTCCCAGATTACGTCAAATATATGCTGAAATACTGTTAGTGGTGGTGATGAAGAGGGCCCCCAAATCATATTCTGCTTCTCCCTTCAACCAGCCCTGCATGACGAGGCAGAGCTGCTGGATGTGAGAGGCAAACGGGGAGATTTAATTTACGTGACACAAGTAGAGACCAGGCTTTTCCGCTTAGTGAGGTTTTAATAAGAGCCACACATGCTACTTGTTTTTGTTTTCCAGGGTTTATGGGGTAAGATCTTCTGACTCACCCTGTTGTGTTCATCCATGTGTTTACAGGTCCACTCCAATGCGAAAACAACAGCGTGCTGCGTGAGAATGGGGCGAGCGCGACGGCTTCCCTTTGGGCTAAACCACTGACTCGCTCATCCGTCGGCCCACTGTGGAAATCCCAGGTAGTCCCACATGCCAGTCCGCCCCCCCCGGGGACCAAGCATTTTTCAGTCTACTTCAAGTTTCCAACCGGGGCTGTCCTGTATTTGTCTCCATCTGCCTTCCCGTCAACTCAACTCTTACCAGATTTCACTCACTGCTGAAGAAAAACATCCCCACAGCATTATGCTGCCCCTACTGTACCTCTTCACCTTGGGAATGATGTGCTCATGATGTGTTTTCTTGCCCAGGATGGGCATGTGGTGATAACATTACAATTGCACCGGCTTCATTTAGGGGCATCAATCTTTTAGATTGTACTAGCAAAACATTAGAAAATGTATTACTTTGCTTTCAGTTCACAATTATGTGCCACTCTGCACTTTTATTATAGAATCCCAATAGAATAGGATGGATGTATTTTAAGGTTGTGATGTGACAGATTGCTAAAAATAAATAAATAAATAAATAAATAAAAAAAACATTAAAAAATTCCCAAATGGTCTGAATACTTTTGAAAGGCAGTAAACTTGGTCCAACTTCCATGCTTGATCCATCTTCTATAAACAGGGTTTGTAACAAATATGAAGCCATGGATTTATTTATAAAATGAAAATGAAGTTACTTAAAGTATATCTGAAATGATACTGATAACATATGCAAGGTCATTTCAGAGCTTTCTCAACACGAAATGAGTAACACAAGTTTCCGTGAGTTTTTATAGTTTTAGTCTAAAATATTAAAGACATGCAACTAAGCTATAGAACTGATCTGTTGTAAAGCTGTTTGGAAATAATCTCCAGACGTCAGTCACCTTGATTAAAAACAGCAATAGTCTCTTACCGTGTTGTAAAAGTTTTAAAATGAGTTAGACTTTTAAGTTGGTAATCAGCAGAACATTGAGATAACGCTTCAAAAAGAAAAACTCAAATCCATTTCCACATCAATTTATTCTTTGCTTTTCCTTCAAATCGTACAGCAACAGGTACAACTTTTAATACCAGAAATGATGTGAGAGGAACATTTCCAGTCCGTTTGCAGCTGAAACTCATTAGATAACCAATAAAGACAAAAAACAAACATCAACCACGTTTAATTTTTGACCACATTACAGCTTTCCACATCACGTCAACGAAACACATGGATCCATATGCGTCTTCTGTATTCCTATTTGTAATATCTGCTTATAAGTTAGTATTTCATGCACACCTTTTGCTCTGATGCAGTGCACAATAAAAGGCATGAAACCGTCTCATACTGTGATCATTCTGTAGCACAACGCTGTTTATTTTTTATTTATTTATTTATTTTTTTTGCTTAACTTAAAAAAAGGAATGCTATATAAAATGTGGAAATATTGTAAAAAAAAAATGTAATACTGAAATTGAATTTAAAAAGATACTTGGTTATTTACAACTTCAAGTTAATTTTGTACAATGTCAAAAACAACAAAGTGCATCGAAATTCTTTAAAGAGCATCTTGTGTTTGAGGAAGTAGGATTCGGGAGCGTCCTTTTCTAGAAGTAAAGAAAAGCATCTGGAAGCTAAACATCATGCATCTCATTTTTCTTCTTTCATAGATTCTGACAACTAAACACAATGCAGATTATTACTGTGTAATGCCTTTACAGCGGCATCATCGGTTGGGTGGAGAGTCACCCATGAGGTGTTTTATTAAGCACAAACTTTTTTTTTTCTTCGCACAATAAATACGCACAAATAGGAAATAGCCATAAAAACATCGAACCAAATGAATAGAAACAGTTCCATTTGTTTTGTTTTTTTTTTCAATTTTTTCAAAAAATATTTTTTTGAAGGAAGCCAGGAAGAAAAATACTACCACAGCTCCAAGATCTGTGGAGGGACGACACCACAGGCAGTGGAATACGGAGTTAAAAAAAAAAAAAAAAAAAAAAAAAAAGTGGGACCGATGTACCAGTGCAAGATTGCTGAGTGAGTGCGACAGTGCTGACTCGAGGGTCAGAGAGGCTGGTGACGCCGGACAGGTCCAGTGCACTGAATAAAGCCTTGCATCAGCGGATAATGCCGCCCTGTCTGTGTGAACAGCCACTGCGGGGCCGGAGAGAGGCGAGGTGGGAGAGGGGTGTGGGGCCCTGAGTGTCTCGTCCCCTGTGGGAAAGGCGTCTGCAGGACTCACTCAGCCTGCGTTACCGCTCCTCGGCTACTTTGCCGTTGGCCTCCTGCTCCTCCTTGTCTTTCCGTTTCTGTCTCCGGAAGAAGCCGAGCTGCACGGACGATCGGTCACATGAAGAAACAAGGTTACGACTCCGTGCTGGAAACACACGTCACTGCTAGGTCATGCAAGCTTTGTCGTGGCGTCAGGTGTGAACCGATTTCGGGATGTTTTCGAGGGAACAAATATTTTACGCAAAAACAATGAGCACAAAGTAGCACAAAGGACTCGATTTAAACCGTTATTTCTCTCTTGTATAATTTCACAGCAGGATCTGTTATTATTACATGCAAACACAAGTATTTCTTTTCACGAAGCACGCTGAAAAGTTGATGAGAAGATGGAAAGCAGGACACGAGAAGAGAAGCTTACCTTCCACAGAGCCAGGCTGAGAAGAGCTAACAATAAGAGCCCTCCCAGTGTGCTGCCAACAATAATCCAGGTAGGGATTCTGTAATCTCCCTCCTTCCTGATCTCCAGGATTATCTGTCAAACAGCATCAGAAACATGTCACTTCGCCGAAAAACACTCAGGTTCATGTACATTACGGTGTCTTGATGCTTCGTTATGTGATCAATATAAATATTTCTTAGTGTTGTGTGCATGATGCAATCGGAGATGCAACATAAGGAATGCTTGATGGTAATCTATGAAAGATAATAGATGTTAGTCACTTTGATCACAGCTGCTAACCTCTTAAATAAAAGTTGCGTTCTTGCTAAAAAGAAATATTGTCCAATGCTGATCGTTATTTAAACACACACACACACACACACACACACACACACACACACACACACACACACAAAACAAAGGATTGTTGCAGACATTTGATTCAGCGCTTTTAAATGTTAATGATTTGCACTCTCCACGAATCATGAATTTCAAATAATGTCATTATACACCCATTACCCCTGTTTATGTGGAAAAAATATTTACTGTTGCTTTAATGAGCGTAAAGAGCAAATGGAGCGTGACAATGATTAATGACCAGTAGATGGCAGCAAAGTTCAACATTTGAGTTCAGACCTGGACAGCGTGTGCTGCTGGTCCTTTCGGTCCCTCAGCACCACAAAGCAAATTCACTCCAACAGGGACATTCATAGAGTGGCTACACCTACCTGTGTTTATGCTCCTTATTGTTATTGGTACAGTTAATGTAATGTTCAGTCAGTAAAACGTGTCAATTACAAAAGCAAATATTGCTTTCTTTTGAAAATGGTTTTAAAGACAGAAGAAAAAAAAAAAAAAAAGAAAACCAAGAGGCAAAAGCTCTGATCGTAGTCGGATGTTTTTAAGAAGCCAATTTCAGATTGGGTCAAACCCGGGGCAGGAGCCGTTTCCAGCAGCAGCAGTTGTTGTTGACTCACATGTCTGACAGGCTTTTCTTCATGTAGGAACATGGGGCTGGCGGAGGGGAGCTCCATCGAGGCACTCGTTATCAGTTCCAGGACTTTAAACTTCAGCTGGAGACAAAAAAAATCAAAGCACGCGGCCGCTGTTTTACCGCCACGTCTCACACGAGAGGTAAAACAGCAAACAGCGAGCCGCACAGCGATTTGGCGAGCTGCGTTTGCGGAATGCGTGTCTGGAGGTTAGAGCTCACTGCGTGTAACGTGTCTATCCTCAGCGCTCCGGTGATTCGAACTCCGATGTCTCTGTGGGAGGCTATATTGACCGTGCACTGGATTGGCAGGGTGAGTGTGTTGGACTGGTTCTGAGTGGAGAAACAAATTTAAGGGTGATGACAAAGCTGAATGCTATTATTTGTGGTTGCAGTTTATCGTTGTTCTCTCTTTGTTTTTTTTTTACTTTACCAAGCGTGAGAAGCGGGACAGATCCTCCGGAGAAGCTCTGCTCAGCGCGATGTGCTGAGGCGGTAAGCAGCGCGTGCCGTCTCTCTGAGGGGGGGGACAACAAAGTAAAGGTGGCTTCTTATATCATTAATGAACTTGTATCCTGAAATATTTCTTTACAGTATACTTTCTTTTTCTCCCAGTTCTGCATTTTTCTTTTTTTTTTTTTTTTGATTCCAGTCAAATCCAAGCATTGGCATCTTGGAACGTTACAAACTAAAACATAATCAAAGAGCAGCTCGTGGTGTATTTTGTTATGCAGGATGTGACTTTTTGACCAGGGCGGGCCTCTCTGCGGTAGGCGCTGCGTAAACACTGGAAGAACAGCTAACTGCAGACCTGGAGATATTTACTCTGAATTGGTGCGACATAAATCAAGTGGAGTTAATCCACAACACTAAAACGGGGGTCTGATTCACAGGTTGGATAAACTCAGGGGCTGTGTTGAGTTTTTTTTTAAACTCTGAATTGCATTTTAACCTTATCTAGTCATACAGAAATCATTCACTGAACATGCATTCATTGACACACACAATTCCGATTTAATAGTTCCTCGTATTTGGATTTGATGTAGATCTCAAAAAAAAAAAAAAAAAAAAAAACCCAAAAAGCCCCACAAGAAAATTTA